TAATTAGGGCAAAGACAAATTGGTGAAATCTAGGGTATATCAGTATGGCCATTGAAGGCACGCATAAGTGATATGCCAAAATTTAACTCAAGCTAAATGAAAATAGGAAAAAATTGGCCATAAGTGATATTTGTACCTAATTGTCATAAAAAATGAGAAATGATTGCCAAGGTACAAAACTAAGATTTTGTTTAGTGCAACTATAATGATGTTATTCTTTTGTTGTCTTATATAAATTAAACTTAATCATTCTCACCTAGAAATGTTAGCTCCTTAAAAACTCAGCCCATATACTTATGGAGTTGTAGAAAATGTGCACATTCAAAATAATAAGTTTCTAAGGATATAATCTAGATAAACCAAAGTTGTTTTTAAAAAGCTAAGAAAAACAAAACAAAAAACAAAGTTAAAAGAAGCCTAACATTAGATTTGACACATAAAATTTGAAGATTTTGAATGGGAAAATAAATGAATTGGCAGACACAATAATTGCAATAAGAAATATTGTACGAAAAAAAATGAAAAGAGGGGAAAATTCAAATACACTAGGGAATATTATAAGTTTTTCTACGTTAGAAAGATTAATAATAAGTAATAAGAATAGTTTAGGCATAAAGTGGATAGAGCATTGAAAAATAAAATTATTGAGGTGGATAAAGTTTGTAGTAGGTTGATTGTTATTCAATTTAAGTTGGCTCAAATAGTTGGGATAAGTTAATAATGGTGATGACAATGATGACTTCAAGTAGCAAAGATTGAACCTATATACATCAAGCATCACAACAAATCACATAAACAAAGAAATTAACGTAAAAACTGAATATATATATATATATATATATATATCTCTTGAGAGACTAATCTCTATAAACAAAATAGCAAATATTGAAGCAATCCACAGCCAGTATCACAATAACCCTATGAACAAAGAAATTGAGATATATATATATATATGAAATTCCTTAGGAGTTCAAAATTAAAGGGTAAAGAGGAATAAAATTACATCTGATTTGCGGTCAGAGATCCGATCAACATCAAAAAATAAAGCACCGGGAATATGAGCAACCTGAATAAAAGATAAACAAGATACATTTCAACTATTGAGGTAAGATAAAAAAGATAGACATTAGTTAATTTGTACTTGCCATTGATAGAAATTTTTCATCGCAGATTATAATGGTAGTAAACATATTATTTAAAGGGAAAATAAGAAATAGTTTATACAGATCATTACAATAAATAGTTCCAAATTTTGCAAGCTTAGCCTCACTACAGTAAACATATAGCACCAATAATTTTGAATCACGCAATTTACCCATGCATCAAAATATATTCTTTAATAAACGTGATAGAATTCAATAAAGTCATAACTACTAAATTATTAAAGTTCAGTCACATATCTATTGATAAGCAAGCACGAATAAATAAGAAATCAGTGATTAATGTTAGGTAAGTTACTTCTAAAAAGAAAATATGTTTTTGAAAGTAGTTATTTGATTTTCACTCATTCGTGCATAACAATCAGATCTTTGTATATTACAAGTTTTTAAACTTGTTATAGAGTTCAAAACCAATATTGCCATCAAATTGCATCCAATCAAATGGAGTCAAGTAAATCATTATTTTTAAATGCTTGTTTTCTAACTTCAAGAAACCAAATAATCCCTTGCAACATTTAGATATGTGTTCATCACCAACACCATATTTGGTGCATGATATGTTGCACAAAAAGCAAACATATTAAACTATTAAGTAAATGAATTAAAAGACACTACATTGTTCTAGTACCAATCAATTCTTGCAAAATATTTTAAATGAAGAATTAGATATGTTCATGAGGTAAATTGACTTGAAAGTTACCTAACTAAATTGACGCATGACGCTGAAAAGTCATATTTTTTTCTAGGCGTAGTGAGCATAAATTGGAAAAATATTAGATATTATTTCTTCTAAAAATGGAAGGTTCTGTCAATTATAGTCTATAAAATCCTCCTGATATAAGTTATTGTCTTATTGATCAAGAATTACTTTTCAATTTCTCAAAAAGGAGGAAAAGAGATGCATTTATGAAACAAAATTAGCAAACTGAATCCTAAAGCAGCAAAAGGATAAAAGCATAGCAAAATAATTGAACCTGATACTCTTGAAAGGGATTGCGCTTTTCATCTGGCATGTACCAAGAAGCGTCCAATACCTAATTATAAAATACAACACCATAAAAAGGGAAATAAGTCAGGATGTATATCATGTGTAAAATTTTATTTCTTCCATCCATCCCTCTATTGCAACCAGAAAAAGAAAGATTAATTAGGAATAAATCATAAGGAAAAATTCATAATGGGCATTTAAATAAAAGCACAATATTTATTTATTATAAATTTTAGTATCAGATTGCTAAAATATAAAGAGATTTAAAAATAATCCATAAATTGCAAACAGTTCTAAACCAAAAATTTCAATTATAAATAAAACAAACTCAAACTGAAATCACAGACCTTGACATCAGGGTTCCTCAGATTAGATTGCAGCCAATCTGGAGAAACAATGGATTCATCATGAGCCATTGAATGAAATGACTTCGAGACTTTCGCACCAGGTGATCTACTTGCCGAGCAATGGATAAAATTAGTAGAAGAAACCAAGGATGGATAAGGCACACGAGCAAATGATGCTCTACCCTGCATACAAAATCGAATCTTACAGGTTCCATTCATGTATTAGTACTAACATCCTTAAAATGTAGAAGGTAATCCCAAAAAACAAAGCTCTTCAAAGAAATTTGCAATTCATACATATTCATAAGGAATAAGAATTAGGGGTTACGTGTCTGATTAGAAACAATAGATGAATGCAATACGGCCAAATCCAAATCCCTTTTCTAATAACCTAATAACAATCTAGATAACAGGGATGAAAGTCGAGTGCAATCTATAAATGAATTAAGATTTACAGCATCTTTATATTAAATTAAACTCAACAGTGATAACGCTCACTCAAAAAAAACACCTTAAACACTCTTTGTTCCCTGTACAATCCTGCAAACATAACAGCTCAGTAAACTCTGCTAAAGGAAGCGAGACAACCAACAATCTCCTCATCAATTACAAATATGTAGAAAATAAAAATAACAAAATCAACAAAACCGATAAAAAAATTATCTATCGAACAAATCCTTTTAAGAATCATGGGCGACGATACCCTTAAAAACGAAGTGAAATATCTCGACTCCTTGAGTAAGCAAGGCGAAGATCGAATCGATTTTAACCCTACAAACGTTCTCGTAAAGAGAGAAGATGCCATGAAGCGGGGTCTGATAACGACGAGGGGGCGACGGACAGCGACCGGGCAACGCTTGAGATTACCGACTCAATGATGGAGGCATCCACCATCACTCACAGAAAATGCAGAGCAATATCAATCGCTAGCTCTAGAAATTCTTATTACAGCTGCAGGTTTTCCTTTGAGCAATAGCGAAGAAGACAAAACATTTCTATACTATAATTTTTTTATTAATTTCTTTTTCTTGAATGTTAGTGAATAAATATCAAATAAATTTGATCTCGAAATTTTGGCAATAAATTTTATATTTTTTATTAATTAAGCTAGTTGACATATACTTAATTAAATTTTTAAGGTTAACTTCTTAACATAATTGGTGAGTTTGATCTATTTTAATTAAAAAATTTATTTAGTTAATATTTATAATCATTATTAAGCTTAATTTCATACAAATCTTGATACAGTCTTTCAATTTAAAATTTAAGAATTAAATTCAAGAACATCTGAATTACTACTTCAATAAATTTATAAGTTAACTAAATATTTCAATGAGATAAATCCAAGTATTAAAAGTGATTCAATCCAACTCCAAATAAACTCAAATATAGCACTTGATATATGGTTAGAAACTTTATGACTATAATTGAAGGATTAAACAATCTTCTAATCTCAATGGTTTATAATCAAAATGACTAATTCTAGGAGTGAAATCCAACAAGTCTATGATCACTTAATTATAAGGTTATTAAGGAACTTAAATGCTAAGAGAATTAAAAAAAAAATGCTGAGAGAATAGAGTGCAAGAGATTTAGATTAAATTTATTAATATAACACTCCTAAAAATTACAAATAACCCCATTTTCTAAGTCGGAAAGGGGCTTAAGTTCAAAACTTGATTTGAAATTAGAGAGCACTTAGAGATATGAACAGCATTAGAGTTCCACCTAGTGTTCAACATAGATGATCAACGTCGACAACTTTCATTGTCTACTCATTGTCTCTCGACCACCATCACTTGAGCACTATAACCAGACTTGTTTTACCTAACCACCATCATCCAGCCATTATAGTTTGACTATATTAATCACTTAACCATCATCATCTAATGATAGTTTCTCTAACTATAGTATAACTTATACCCCACCATTGCCCACAACATTGACACATATCATTACTTAAAAGAGTCATGCATGCTGTCAACAAACATGTCAATGTCCATTGACTTTGTTTCCCACCATCACCATTAACACATTGTCAACATAAGCACTGAAACTTTACAACTTTGTCACTTGTCATTGCTAGTAATGATAATGCATGTCATTACTTATAAGGTTTATGTACGTCTTAGACCAAATTATTGATGCAGTTTTTATCACCTACACCATCGACATGCATCATAGCCTATAAGGCCAATGCACGTCATCAACATAAAATGATGACACCCACCAACTTCATCTCTAGCAACATCGATGCAAGTTGATTTCATCACTTAGTGTTACCAGCAATCTCAAGATAGAATATCACCTATAAGGTTGATACACATAGTCAAGACCAGTCGTCAATCATATCCAAAAATGTCATTACACACCATTGTCTATATAGTTGGTGCATATCATCGAGTCATCAACACAAATGTTGATGTCCTTGTTCATCAACTTTGTCACCTGTCATCGATAATAACACGATCGATATCATCGTCTATAAAGCTTATGCATATCATATATATAAATGATGATACATGACGACTTCATCATCCATTATCATCACAATATTAATACATGTCATCACTAATAAGGCAAATATACAATGTCATTAACAATCTAAATCATGGCATTAACATCAAGATTTGTGCTTAAATTTTTAGTATATGGTCCCTTATGCACAAAGGAGAATTAACAATCATATGAGGATAACCCTAGTGCATTAATATATCTATAACTTCCACCATAAAATTATTCATCCATCACTACATGAAAATCACTTTTTTGCTACAGAAAAATTCATCGCAAAATCTGATTTACGGTGGATTTGCGGTGAAATTTAAAAAAAAAAAAACCTAAAATTCAAACTTGAGCGGCTGCCCCCTCCTGCTTGACCACCCGACTGCCCGAGCCTGACCGCCCGCCCACTCCCACAAGACTGTTGCATGCGTCTAACCGGTTGCCTGCTCCCACTTGACCGGTTGTCTGATCGGACTACTCGCTCCATATGATGTAATATCAAAATCTGCTCCAGGATCGTCCGGACCGATCTGGATCGTCCCGGGACGATCAGTGCAATTTTTGTTCCAGTTTTCTGTCCAGAAGTTACAGGAAAATTTCCTGTATGGATCGTCCAGGCCGATCTGGGATCATCCCAGGACGATCAGTGTATGGCACAAGTCAGAGAGCAAGGGGTTTTTGAAAATTAATTATCGTCCTAGATCATCCTGCGAAATCGTCCCAGGACGATGCAGTTTTGGTCAGATCGTCCAGGACGATCGTGCGATCGTCCAGGCCGATCAGAGTGTTTTAAAGCTGAAATCAGCTCATTTTTGAAGAGAGAGAAAATCAAAATAAGCCGAGGAGAGAGAAGGTCGAGGGCAAATTTGGAAAAGTTGATTTTCGGGCGACGCCGAACCGTTTTTGTCCTACGAGATTGTTCGAGATATTGCTGTACGCAAGGTAAGGCACATTCCGCCTTTCTCAATTTTCAGAACGGTGCAATTTGAACGACTTTTCTGTCCGGATTTCGTTTTTGTTAGCGAATTTCGTCCGTATTTTCCGATTGGTTCAGTTTTTACCGTGTAATTTTTGGTATGTTTCTGAGGTGCCGAGTGTGCACATTTTGATTATTTTTCTGGAGAATTTTGACCGGGTATTTTTGATTACGGTCAGCTATAGAGAGAGAGAGAGAGAGAGAGAGAGAGAGAGAGAGAAAGCTAGTTTTGGGCTGCTTCAACATGTTTTCAACGAACAACCTAGTTTTGAAAATCATCCGGTTCGAGGTATGTTACTTTTTCCTATATCATTTTTTAAGGAATTTCAATACAAAAAAATATATTTAATCTATATTTCCATTAGAGAAAAAACTAACATAACTTGATATATCCAAAACTCTCATTACGTAACTTTTCTATATGTTACCAATACGACAGTTATGAGTGTTAGGTATTTTATGGAAAATTTTCACTATGTAAATGGAAAATGTGGGTTTTGGCAAATTAGAAAAATTCCTTAGTTTTAAAAATAATGTGTATTATGATAAAAGTTTCAAAATAATGCTCTAAACAATCTATTATAATTTGGTTATATTTTGAAACATTGTATTTCTGGTCAGTAATATATTCTGGCACCTATTGTTAAATAATTTTGTTAATTCTGAATTGAGTTTATTTATATTTCTTTTAATGCAATGTAATGAATTTTATGCTTATCTGTTTGAAATGAGTAGGCATACTCTGTATAGGGGAATTTTGTTCTTGTGCTAAAGATACATGAAGTTTTATTATGATATTGTATGCACACTCTATTCTCGTGTTGAATGCACAGTCTGGTACTATATGCATATTTTGTTATGGTATTTGAAAGTCATAAAGGTCTATTTTCTGATTTGCCAATACGAGAGTCATAAGGATCATAATTCTTAGCATTATGTTCTGATGGGAGTTGTAAGGGTCTGAGGGAAATCCGATATTTTCTATTATGATATATGAAGTGCTTGTTTATTTGCTTTCCTAGCATTGATATTTACATTTCTGATAACTGCAAACACTATTTTGATATATGGCTTATTACAATAATTGCATGTATCAATAGTTCTTAAATTCAAAAAAATAATTTGAAAATCTATATTGGTAAGTGCAACCTGTTGAGATGTGTTGGCTCATAGTTTATCTGTATTATTTTTTAAGGTCTCGAAAAGGGAAAGAGCCTGATGAATTGCTAAGTTAGGATCTGATATGTCTAAGTATGTATAAATACTTTTTTTTTTTCTGATTTTTGTATAGTCATGTATAGTTATTTAATTAATTTATTTATTTTGTAGTTCAATATGTAGTCATACACTATAGTGTAATTGTTGTATATCTATTTTTATGATAAATGAAAAGAAATTTTATGGATGAGTTTTTTCAGTGTATTGGCAGTTATTAGTAGCTTTGGGGTTTGTTGTTTGTTTTAGACTTTTAGGTTTAATTAAAGTAAGAAAATTTGAAAAGTTCCTCAAAACTTGGATCTTGGGCTGATTTGTTGCACGCTAACACAATATGATTGATCCGCCTGTGGATCTTATCCAGTTGGATTGTGATAGTTGCTATCACCAAAGAAAAGACACTATTTGATGTAATCATATATGATTTAAAGTGTTGGCTTTTGAGGTTATACTGATATATCAAAGCAAAATAGTTAAATTTTATTGATACTTATATTAATATAATTAAATAATACATTAATTATTGGAGAAAATTTAATTATGTGTTATATTAGTGATTAATTATAATTAATTTATATTATTTGTCGTTGTGATAAATATTTAAAGCACATTATACTATAAATTTAATGCCCACAATATTACAAAATCATTAATGAAATACTGTAAAACATTACATGAGTTTGATAAGAATACATGAGAATTTAATACATTTTTATATACATGAAATTCAATAAGATACACAACACAAAATACTACAAAGTTATCTTGGATAACTTCACATAAGTCGTGCTCAAGCAAGGAGCCGCGAAGGAGGCGGGCTGAGGCAGAAAAGAGCCATAGTAGATGACATCGAGATATATGAGATATGTGACTCTATGGGACTGTTTGGTAGAAGGATTTAGGTCAGATTTGAGTGAAACCCAGCCAAACTGCCTAAAATGCAAAATCAAATATCACGTCAAACAAAATCTGTTGTAAACGGAAAATTCCGTCGATTCGCTCTAAATCCAGGATTTTCAAAATCCTGTATTTTGCCAGATTTATGAAATCCATGGTGTTAGAGGAAGAGTCCGCTCAATAAATCCTGCTCTATAGTCAAACATTTACATGAGATTTAAGAGGATTTATCATGAATAGTATCAAATAGTCTTCAAGATTTAAGCCCCTCAAAAATTTTGAAATACATTTTTTAAATTTTTTTGAAATCCTACTTAAATTAAATCCGGGATGCTACCAAATAGCACTTATATTTTATATGTGCTTGATAGCACTTCCAAAGTAAGGGATGGAGATTTTAGTGGCATAATACGAAAATATCCACCGAGTTCTTGTTCTACGTAGGGTTTATCCGTTTTGTTGGCATAGGAAATGGATCAGGGAGCAAAGAGATAAAGGCCGATGCAGTTATTTATAGCCGTCTTCCTTAAGTAAAGCTCTCTCGGTTCCTCGTCTGATGAATTTCCATCTGGAGTCAAGCTTTTTCAATTTCCAGTCATGCATGGTCTATGTCGTCCACTTGAGTTTTCGCTAGAAGGTAGCATTCAATTGAAAATTCCGACATGGTTGTTGCATATCTTCAATTCGGTTTTTCTAGCTTGGGCGCAAGCAGCTTCCCCATCTTGAATTCCAGGCTGAATTCCTCCCGTATTCATGGCATTTCAATTTTTCAAAAGCCCGTTCCGGGCATGCATTCGGCCTCGGCGGGGGCGAGAAAAAGATGTGTTTTTTATGTGAAAGGGCCGAAAATTGGAATTATTAATTCCTTGCCTGACGGAGAGGTTGAGACCACTTCGACCAGCAGCGAATTTCTTGAGAAAGAGTTCAAGTTTATTCCCACATTTGATAAATATGTCAAAGTTTTGGAGTCCATTAAAACCGACAGGAGTAGGTTATCGGCTGAGCAAGCGAATTTGCATGGTTTGAAGAAGAGATCAGTTGGCAGGCATGTCTTAACGGCAGATAGTGTTACAAAAAAGAGGAATTCGTACAAATCAAAGAAGCAACTGAGCAAAGAAAACTTATCTTCCGATGAGAAGGCCAGATATTCAAGAGAAAACAGAGGCGATGCACCCAGTTTGAAGGGCGGTGTTTCTGATAAGAGTGGTTCTGCATGGGCTGTGGTTGAAGAGATGTTGGAGAAGAAAGCGAAGGAGAAAAGTGTTGAGCGACAGAAAGGTGGTTTAGAACGCAAAAACGAGGATTTTAGTACTGTAAGAAATGTTTTGTATAAGAAGACCAAGGGTGCTGGTAAAGTTGTTCATGATGGGATTGTTGAGAACAACAGCACAAGTCGGAGGAGAACTGAATCGCAAGAAAATCGTCAGAACTTAAGAAAGTTGAATGATTTAGCGAATTCTAAGGTAGTAGAGAATGAATTAGGGCGTGGTGACAGCCGAAAGGCCCAATTCACCCCTTACAGAACTGGTGAGGATTCGAGTGGTCAAGGACATGGTTTACATAAGAAGAACAATGGTGCTGAAGACGTTATTGTTGATGAGATATTGGAGGATAAGAGAACGAGTCAGTGGAGGCTTAAAGAAAGACAAATATATAGTAAAGAGTTACAAAGTTTGGATGAGTTGAAGAAAACTAATTTTGTGAGGAATGAAGGGGGTTGTGGAGACTACGCAAAGTCCACTGAATCCAAAAGGTTTACTAATAGGATTGTAAGCAAAGATGAGAGTTTTTTAAGATTTGACGACATGAGCGCAAAGGATAAACATAGAAGAGATAAAATGGAGGCTTTTGAGGTGGAAGGAAATCAGCATTACCAAGCCATTAATGCAAAAGAGCGTGATTTGTGTGCCCCAGCAAAGGAAATTTACCGTAAAGGCAGCATTAGGAGAAGCGCCAAGCTTCATGGCGATATCATAGAAGCAGAAAAGCTTAACTCAAGGGCACTTATATCATCAGGAAGATCAGTTAGAACTCATGCCGCTTATCCTGAATTTTCTGAAGAGGTAGACGGTGTTGCATTAGAGAACAGAGCTGCTTTCAAGACATTTGAGGTATTCACAGATGTGAGAAACAGGCCACGAGTTTTGAGGATGGAGATGGAAGAGAGAATCCGGAATTTAGCGAAGTGGTAAGATGGTCTGAACATTTTATTAATTTAACTTGGGCAACAAAATAATTTGATTTTTTTTAAACTATTTCTGTCCAAGGTTGAATGCCAGTGATTTAAACATGCCAGAATGGCAATTTTCGAAGATGATCCACAGCACCAAAATCAAATTCTCGGAACACTCCATCTTGAGGATTGTTCAAATACTGGGTTCATTTGGAAATTGGAGACGGGTATTACAAGTTATTGAATGGTTCCATTCACGTGAACGTTTCAAGTACTATAAGAGCAGGTAATCTTTGTTGATTTATGAAGTAAAAAATTGTTTCATTAAATCTCCAGATAAAAATTGAGATTTTTTTCATAGGAAAATCAGTCTAGATTTATTTGCAAATCATGAAAAAAATTATTGCAAGATTTGACCAAAAGTCTCCTAAAGGTATTATTTAAATGGAATCCGCATCACTTACCACCACCTCATAATATCTATAAAAGGAAGAGGAGCTGGCTTTTGATGATAGGCAGACCTGGGTTTTTCAAGGGTTGTGGGTGAGGGTTTTCTAGGTTCATTTGAGTTGTTGATGATGACATGATGGTTTTAAGCAGAGCTCTTGATGGCTGATAGTCTTGACTGGTGTGAAGAGTAGCATGGAAGAAACAATGAGGGAATTGATAGTGAGATGGTTGGTTGTAGTGGTCCATATTTGGCTATGGTTGGGTGTCAAGAAGAAGTGGTTCGGTGGAGGAGTTCATGGTTAGCGAACAATATCATAAAGATGTATGAGAAGTTAGCAATGTTATAGAGACTTGTTGCCATTAACTATGTTGGCAGTGAAGTTGGCCAACAAAGAGGCTAGTCGACAATTTGGTTGTGGTCAACAACTCATATTGGCAAAGGTGATTTGTTACTTGGAAGAAGCTAGTGTGGCCTTGCTCTTTATTGTTGTCAAGAGTGCCAATTTCTTTTAAAATATGTTACCATATTTTTGAAAAAAAAGTGCCTTATTTAGATAATGTTACTTCGGTCCCTAAGAAATATTTCAACCTTGATACTTGATCTTAAAATTTTTTGCAAGACTTCTCTTGAATGATTATTTTTTAGTTGTCATCTTCTATTACAATAATATCAACCAAATATACTAATAGAGCTATATGTTCCCTCTTTGTAGGATGTTTTATAAAGACAATATGTTACCTTGACTTTATTTGTACTCTATTGTGAATGTAATTTTAATAGGAAGTAGATGCAATTTCAACAAAATTAGAGAAAGGCAAAAAAATTTAGGAAGAAGAATGCACAAGAATTCTTTTTTTTATTGAAAGAACTAAGATTAAAAACATAAGATACAACTGGATCTTCAATTGGAGAGGAAGATCCGGCTCTCCCAAAGCCCTAGTCGACGGCTAGAGCCCTCACAACCTAAGAAATTCTAATTTCAGCAAACTCAAAACATAATCCTGAAATCACCATACTGTTAGCCTTAAATAGGCTCTTCTAATTTCCACCCAAATCAGCCCCATTTTCCTAAATAATTCCCTCTCATATTTGAATTCAAATTAACTATTTCCCTAATTAATTCCCCCCCCAATTGTATTAAAACTTTCCTAAGTAATTCACCCTTAATTACTCCACCTTTTCTTTAAATAATTCCCTTTTAGATTTTGAATTCGAATTAGATCTCTTGATCTAAATAATTCCCTCACAATTTTGATCTTTTATGATAAGTAATTAATCCCCTTTGAGCCCCCTCTCTCCTTGCTTGCTCCCACAGTAGTGGGGCCCATTGGCTCAGCTAGTCCATCAAATTTTTGTTGAGTCTTCCAAATCATGCTCTACGAGATTTTTTTAAGCTGGATATTTCTTTCTTTAATCTGCTTGCTTTAGAGCCATTAAAATCTTTGTCAAATCTAGGAGGTTTCACAAACAGCTTTTCTTATAAATTTATATATTTAAAGACTTTTTTTTACATAAAACTGGACTGGATGCTTGTTGAAAATGGAAAAATATGGTAGTCAAATTTGTACAATTATCTTTTTTACCACATGTATAATTGTTTTTTGATAATCCTCTGCATATGCTTGGGTATATATTTTTGCCACCAATCCAGATTTCTATCTTTCTAGGGTTACACCTATTTACATTCCACTTGCTGTAAGTCAATAACTTCTATTGTTTTATTATTTTTCGTCCCTCATCTCCTTTCTAATGGTTTGTTCTTTGTTCTTTCCTTTAACTGATTATTATAGATTTTAAAGAATGTTAATGGGATTAATGTTGGAAAGAACTTTTTTGTGTTTAGTGAATAGTTTATAAAGAAGACTAAGTGAGAAATATGATGTCACCATGTTAGGTGCAACTTATGATTTTTTTGTCTTATGGCAATGTGCAAATCTAAGTTGGTATTTACATCAACATGGATAGTATTATCATAAGTAGAGGAAGAAGTCGATTCAATACTTGATTTGTACTTTTGTATATGTTTAGGCCTGGAGATTGGAGCTTCATTCTTGAGTAGATATACATTGGATTATTGAAATTTGGTCCAATCGTCCTTTCTTCACTTGGGATTTTTTTGAGGTAGTTTTAGGATATTTTTTGTGGCAGTCAGGATGTTTGTTTTTTGGCAGTTCATGGTTATTTTATAAGCTCTTTTTTTCCCTGAATATTTTTAGGAGTGAAATCATGAAACATTGATAATTGGAAATGATAATATTGCTAAGATAAACATTTTATTTTCTTCATTTATAGCATTCTCCATCGAAAAGGAGTCATTTTCATGGCAAGAAAATTTTTTCTAGTAGTTGGGTGACAATATTTATATCCCTTTTGGCGTTTAATTGACCAATAAACACACATTTTAAAGCTTTGGATCAAATTTTCCTTTATTATGAGTGTGAACATGCAAAAACTACAAACATTAAAGTCTTATAAGATTTGTTGAAATCCTGATGGAATTTGGATAAAGTCACCATATGGATTTTATACCCTAAAATTATAGATGGAAGCCTATGTATTAAAAATGCTGTTGTTGAGACGGCTTCTCCCCAATGGTTCTTAGAGATATTGTTTTAGTAGTTAATAAATAAGATGTATATCTTTTTATTTATCCACTCGATTTTGTTTAGGCTATATCAACATAAGAGAATTCATGCATTCTTTTATGTTAAAGAAGAGTGTTTGCTTGACAATTTTTTTAGCATTATTAAATCTAACTTGTTTAATAGGAACTACAAATTGGGCGCCAATAATCTTGTTAATGATGAAAATATCCTACTTCATTAATATTGCTCTTTCATAAGAAATAACTAAATAGTTCTAGTGCAATCATTAAAAAATGACATAAAACATTTATCACTAGAGATGTTAAGAATATGAGCAGGCCTTCATATTGCAGTGCGTATTAAGGAAAAAAACAAAGTATCTAATACTACTTGATAGATAGGATGAACAATGATGGTGAGTAAAATTACTTGTCACATTGGAATATACTAATATCTTAAATTTTAAAATAATAAAACAACATAATTTTAAGAATATCAATAGAAGGATGTCCAAGGCAGAGTTTTTGAAGCAAAACCTTGGTTAATTTGGAGGTGGAAGGTTTTGACCACCAAGAAAGGGATAGTTGGTTTCCTTTGTTACTACTTTCTTAAGATGGTAGAGTCCAACGTTCTCCTAAGTATATCCAATCATTCTCCTCATATCCCAATTTTGAAAAACACAATGAGAAGGGAAGTAAGGTATTTTGTAATTTGGGCTTGTGATGATTTTATGAATTGATATAAAATTGATTGATAAATTTGGAACATATAAATTTTATTTTGTGGAAAAAATAAAATTAGATTTATTGTATATTATTCATTGGCTATTAGAGCCCTACATTGAGTACCTATACCCACACCCATTCTTGTACCCACCCATACCCATTGGGTATGGGTAGGCCCATAACCTTGTGGGTGGGTATGGGTAGGTACTCAACATCGGGGGATAAATCAATTTACATTGCTAATCACCGTATATCTTATATTACTGCAATCCTCACTACGTAGTGTGCAGCATTTAACCACGTTGCGACTACGGTAAATTTTGATATGCGTCTAGAAAGTTTGCAATCAGAGCAAAGGGAAACAAGTCTCAAGGCCATCAATCCATAGCATATTGCATTCAAAAAGTATGGAAAATGGGTGGGTATAGGTGGGTACGAGTGTACGACTTCTCGAAAGTCACCATGGGTGGGCGTGGGTGGGAGAAGCCGATTGAGTAAAGCATGGGTACCTAACCATGACCCCTTGTAGGGTTTTGTTGGTTATCAACAATTATAAACAAGTTATTTGTTATAATGACATTTTTAAGCAATGGCTATCAATATCACTTATTAGTTTTGAACTTTAAGATGAAGGGACAATACATAAAAAATAAAGTAAAACGTTGTTCTAGGATTAGATGGGGGCTTTTAAAGAATATTAATATTTTTTTTTATAATAAGATTCTAAATATTAAAATATTTTCTGTGTATGAAGAAGCTAATATTATATAAGAAAAAGTAGATAGTGATATTACAAATGTTGCAAAAGATGTGCTTGAAGTATCAAAGGGAAAAACTCCTAATAGTAAAAATAATTGGTGGTTGAATTAAAATGTACAATAAAAGATAAAAAATAAGAAGATTTATTATAAAAATTGATTTAGATATAAAAATTCAGATAATTGAAAAAGATATAAAGAGGCCCGTAAGGAGTCTAAGAATGTAATATGCGATGTAAAAATTTTAGCTTTTAATAATTTATATAATAGATTAGATATTTAGGAGGGTGAAAGATATATGTATAAGTTAGCCAAACAAAGATATAAGATTAGTTAGGATTTAGTTCAAGTGAAGTGTATTAAGGATGAAGATCAAAAAGTGCTATTATTAAAAGTGGATATTTTAACAAAGGTGGTTGAGATATTTTTTACTTTTCAATGAATATTATTAGAATGCGATTGACTTTCGTGACCTTAGCATCCTAAATGAAAGTAAAGATTTTTGTTTTTATCGGTGTATTATTAAAAGCAAAGTTAGAGTGATGAGGACATCCGATTTCGACACGTGTACCATCGTCGAAGACGCAGATCGACGGCTACGATCCAAAGCCTTTATTTCTGATTTATGTTATATTTTATTTATTATCGCATTTTATTTTCCTAGTTTACCCCAGTGGGTAGTGAGTCGCTTGTGTAGCCCAAAGGGCATTTATGTCATGTAGCTTTGTTTCTATTTCGACCTATTTAAAGAAGGCCTCATGTATTGT